TGATTTATACTTAGCTTGAATTGTGGGTTTGTCAGAGTCACAACAGACTTTGAATTCGACATACCAAACTTTTCAAGAACCTTTTGTAGGTATGCCTCTTGAGATAAGCATAATTTCGACTACTTTCTATCTCTCCGGATGTCAAACCCAAGAATCCTGGACGCAGCTCCCAGATCCTTCATGTCGAAGTCTTTATTGAGTTTAACATTCACCCTTATTACATCTTCGACATTGTTGCTTGCTATTAGAATGTCATCCTCATAGAGCAGCAAAATAACTAATGATTACCTGGTCGAAATCTGAAGTAAACACAGTGGTCGAACTGACTTCTGATGAAACTTATGTGGGCCATGAACTTGTCGAATCTCCTATTCCACTGTCGAGGAGATTGTTTCAGTCCATATAAGGATCTATTCAGCTTGCACACATAATCTTCCTTCCCTTTTTCAACATACCCTTCAGGTTGCCTCATCAGGATTGTTTCATCTAAGTCACCACACAAGAATGTAGTCTTCACATCCATCTGTTCCAGTTCAAGGTCGAACTGTGCCACTGTGGCAAGCAACATTCAAATGGATCTGTGCTTCACAGCAGAAGAGAACACATCATTGAATTCGATACCTTCTTTTTGAGTGAACCCCCTAGCAACGAATCTTTCCTTGTATCTCTTCGACGCCACTCCTTCGATTCCTTCTTTAACTTTGAAAATCCATTTATAGCCGACTAACTTGGCTCCAGCAGGTTTCTTAATCAGTTCCTAGGTGTTGTTATCATGAAGATATTTCATCCCATCATCCATGGCCTTCATCCATTCAGTCTTCTTTCGACTCCTCATAACTTCCTTATAGTCTCTAGGTTCTTCATTTAGAACCTCACTAGCAAAGATTAAGGCATAAGCTATAAGATCTGCATACCCAAGTCTCTGAGGTGGCTTGATGACTCTCCTCGACCTGTCTCTTGATAGCAGGTAGCCATTATCAGTCTCCTCATCTTCGAAAACATCTTTTGCGTCTTCTTTGACTTCATCTGGGATAAGCAATTCAGCATCAACATGCTCCACGTCAACAGGAATCTCCCCCTGTTCCAGCTTTTCGTCGGCATCATCAGTTTTCTTGAAAGCCATCTCTGCTTCATTAAAAACTACATCTCAACTGGTGATACACCTCTTGTGACCTGGCTCTAGGCACCATAGCCTATAAGCTTTGACTCCTACAGGGTATCCCGTGAACATGCATTTCAGAGCTCTAGGTTCGTACTTGTCTTGCCTAATATGAGCATAGGCCACACAACCAAATACTCTCAGTCTGTCGAGACTAGGTGGATGTCCCGACCAAACTTCTTCAGGTGTCTTCATTCCCAAGGCAATCGAGGGACATCTATTTATTAGGTAAGATGCTGTCAAAATAGCTTCTGCCCAAAACACCTTCAATCCAACACTAACCAACATGCATCTAACCCTTTCAAGGATTGTTCGATTGAATCTCTCAGCTAATCCATTTTGTTGAGGAGTACCTGCTACAGTCTTATGCCTTGCAATCTCAAACTCAACACAGTAACTATCAAACGCTTTATTGCAGAATTCAAGGCCATTGTCAGTTCTCAACCTCTTAACCTCTCTGCCAGTTTGAGTTTCGACTAGAATCTTCCAACTTTTGAAATACTCAAAAGTTTCATTCTTCGTCTTCTGAATGAATACCCATAACTTTCTGGAATAGTCATTAACGATGGATAGAAAATACCTTGCACCTGAGTGTGAAGGATTCCTTGCAGGCCCCCAAAGATCAGCATGAATGTAATTTAGGGATCCATGTGTTCTTTGCTTGCCTTTGTTAAACTTCGTCCTACATGATTTACCGAATACAGGATTCACAAAAATTCAACTTTTCGACTTTGTCACCTCCTAGTAGGTTCAGCTTCCCCAATTCGACCAGGCCTCTTTCGCTGACATGGCCCAATCTCATGTGCCATAATTCTGTCTTTGACACAGGGTTTCGTGGATGCAACATTTGTCGAACCACTTACAACCTCAGCCTCAAGGGTATACAAGCCTTGTTTCTTCACGCCTCTCAAGACTTCATTCGACCCCTTCATGACTCTTAAAATACTTTTCTCTCCTTGAAAAACATATCCCTTTCTGTCGAATTCACCAAGAGAAATCAAATTTCTCTTCAAGTCAGGTACATACCTAACTTCAGTCAATAACCTTATTGACTCATCATGGAGCTTGAATCTCACAGATCCAATACCTACAATTTTGCAAGATTTGTTGTTTCTCAACAACACAGATCCACCATCTTGATCACATAGCTCCTCGAACAATTCTTTGTTTAGATTCATGTGCCAAGTGCAACCTGAACCCATAATCCACTCTTTTCTCGAGTCGCCACTTAAAATCACAAGAACATCAGATGAGTCGAAGTCATCTTGAACAATGGCTGTGTTGCCATTACCTCCATGATATTTCAGGCGTTCAGGGCACACCTTTCTTATGTGACCCTCATTCTTACAGTGATAACATCGAATATCAGATGTTTCGCCACTATAAGACTTCTGTTGACTTTTACCTTTCTTCTTGTCGAACTTACCATCCTTTCGCAAGAAGTTTCCCTTAACAGCCAAACATTCTCCCACCGTCGAAGGTTTATGCTCCATTCATTCGTTCAAGTCATTAGAATACAAGGCTAATTGAACATCTTCAAAGGTTAGGGACTCCCTTCCATACAAGAGAGTTTCTTTGAAGTGAGCATGTGTTCTGGGAAAAACACACAGCAGTAACAGTGCTTGATCTTCATCATCGATCTTCACATTAATATTTTCAAGATCAAGAATCAGCTTGTTGAACATACCCAACTGCTCAGCCAACACTTTGTCTTCACTCATCTTGAATGAATACAAAGCTTGCTTCAGGTAGAGTCGATTCACTAGAGATTTGGTCATGTACAAACTTTCAAGTTTCACCCATAATCCCGATGTTGTAGTCTCCTTTGATACCTGCCGAAGAACCTTATCACCAAGACTCAACAATATTGTGATGTGGGCTTTCTTGATCATGTCTGTCTTTTCTTTTGCCGTTAACGCAACGTCCATGGCTGCCTCGCCCTTCAACACTTCCAAACAACCTTGCTGAACCAGTAGGACTTTCATCTTCAAGCGCCACAGGCCGAAGTCGTTCACTCCGGTGAACTTTTCAATCTCATACTTAGTTGAAGGCATCTTCTCCACGCTCACCGCACCAATTTGTTGTGAATCAGATATCTTAAAACTAAGTATAAACAGTTTCTTAATGATCAAGAAACACACAAGTGTTAGGGTTAATAAAGAAGAAAACAACAAGGATTGGTTATTAAATTGCTATTCTTTCCTTTATCTTAGAACAAGATTACAAGTATACAAGAATAACAAAATAACCTCTCTCTCTCTCTCTCTCTCTCTCTCTTGAAATTAGGATTTTATCTTCCTATTTTTTCTTATGACAAGATTGAGAAACTAGCATCCTATTTATAAGAAAAATAGCACACTAACCTAATGGGCTTTTTAACAATTATCCATTACAAGCTAACTTAGGGTACAAGCTAACTTAAACAATTGGCCTTACAAGCAAGACCCAATTCAACATGGTAACAACCCTAACAATATTGATTAATGCATGTTAGAACAAACTTCGACTACAACATGCATTACTCGCGAACAGACTTCGACCACACTAGAGTTCGATCCAACATCTCACATATACTCTCAATTTATTTATTTTTTTCACTTTGCATTAATGATGATTAGAATACACCAATAACTAATAATGATAATTTTCTAAAATTACTATTCTCAATTTTATTTATCTATTTTTTAAAAAAAAATTATTTAAAAGTGTCAAGTATGACACATCTTTTGAGATGGATGAAATATTATTTTTGTTTGGAAAAATTAAAAACCTTTGTAACTATAATTTTTGTGCGGAAACATTAAAAATCTCTCGACTATAATTTTTGCACTTAAAAATTACGGACTCTTTCATGACTCATAACTACACAAATTCCATTTGTATCAGTATAGGTATCGAGGTCTTTCCATAGGTGTTCGGAGTTTCTCAAAATGGGAGAGGTAATACGTCGTCCACGTGAAAGAATCTCTAGTCTTCTTTTTATCAAGAACGACATTCATTTCTCAACTACATCGTCCGCTCTTTGGATGACTCGTATGATGTATGAGAGTGCGAACAAATTAATATTTCTTATAAATAATAGGAGATTAAATACTTTATTTCCACGTTTTTAGAAATTCGTTGCTCTTTTGTTAAAATAAAAAATTAGGTCCAAAATTTTTTATAAATATTTCAAAAATTGAGGAGAAATCTCAATATCATCTCTCAAAAATAATATTAAGAGCTTCTCACCTCCCATTACAATACACTTTGGCATGTATGGAATTATACATTGGCAAACAATAACAGCGCCAAGGTGGTTGAAGACCCACTTATGGTCATTTCCCCACATTATAATGTCTAATTATGAAAAGAAATCAAACCTAAAACTCATATTTTTTATACTTATTAAAACCCTACTAGTTAATTTCTACAAATTTACCCACAAAAATTTTCGGAACATGCTATACCAATTAAACAGCAATAACTCAAAGACCTGTCATGAATTGCCTAATGTCCCACAACTTTATCACCGACTTCAACTTTTTTTCCCCTTTACTTTTGTTTTCTTAACCCTCACTCTTTCTTTTTTCGAACTAGTTTTTCTAACAAAGAACACATCATCTATTAAATTAATTAATTGTCACACCATATTTAATTATTTTATTACTCACACCTTATTGTATCATCTCCTATATAAACCCTTGTCCACACCTTGAACTCTTTCGTGCCAAAGTCCAATAACACTCATACTATCAATACTTCTCTCTCTCTTAAACCTAAACATTCACACAATTTAGATTTTTCTATATTTGCTAGCTATTCTCTAGAGTCATAAATTTTTCTCTTTATTATTACTACAATGAGCAACATTAAGAACAAAACAGTGAGATTGTTCAAGCAAATTATACCTAGTTTAACCTCAAAAACTATAGCTTTAAAATCCAAAACAAATGCCATCAAAGCTCGTTTGATTCTATTCTCCTTCATGAAGAATAAGAAGCTCCTTATGAGTTCAATTTCAGAGAAGTTTCACTCTCTTTGGGGGAACCATCCTCATCATCATTCCAACGAAGATTGCTTAATTGAAGGTGGAAATTGTGATTATCATAATAGAGCTATAGTTGTTTATAACAAAAATGCTCACACTTATGAAGCGTTGCTAAATCCAAGTGAATTAGCACAACAAGTTTTGGATGAGCAAGATCAAGAAGATGGATATGATGGTTACTATGATGATGATGATGATAAGTATCCTGATTTGACTCACAATCTTTTTGATTCTGAGGGTTTGGATTTTGGAGGATCGGTGATTGATAGGGTGAAGAATTGTAAGGAAGAAGCAGGGAAAGAGTTTAAACTTGAAGATGATATTGATGAAGTTGCTGATCTTTTTATCAGAAGGTTTAGAAGAAATATAATCTTGCAGAAACAAGATTCATTGAAGAGAAAGAGAGAAATTGCGCAAAATGGTGCTTGAATTTCGAGTTCACTCGGATTCAACATCTCTCCCATTGAAATCTAGATAGTCTGGAATTTAATGGACAATCTAGATGCGATCGTCTGTCTGTGTACTCCAAATAATTCAAACAAGTATTCCTTAAAGATGCAGTCCTATAGCACACCCTTGAAGGTGTGGGGGAACAAAAACGTATTGTTGAGGGTTGTTTGATGGTGTTCCATGAGTTTTTGTCATAAGAGTTGGAATTTATATTGGTGTTTTCTTTATGGATGTGAACTATTGTTAGTGTTAGAACACTTTGTTTTAAAAACGGTTCAAAAAGAGTTTTTCAAAAAGAAATTATTGGAATGAGTTGCAGATAAAGTTGTTTCCTTCAAAATGTTTTGCGATATATGTTGATCCGTATTTGTTAGTAAAGAGCAGTTTTGTAGTTGTGTCAACAAAAATCACTATATAGGAAGTAAAATGTATCCTTTGAGAATGGTACAATAACATATTTTATATGTAAAATCACTATATAGGAAGTAAAAGTGATTTTGTTTAATAACCTAAAACAATAAAGGAAAAATATTAGCATAACAATGATAGAGATGTTGGGGTTCTGATGCAATTGTTATGATTACACGTGTATCATTAATCAATTATACAAGTTTTACTTATTCATTTAGATAATCACTTATTGCTCAACAATGTTATCCCGATCAAAAATAATATCGAGATATTAATCGTAATGTTGCTTTGAGGATCTCTCAACCTAATAGACAATACAATAGAATTATGTTACAAAAATATATGTGAATATCAAATTGAGATTTATTTCTACAGTATACATTTAGATAGATGACTATTTAATCTAAGTCTAAACCTAAAAGCACTTAGATCCACAAATTATCTTACAAAAAAGTCATTTTAGATATAAAAAATATTATTCTTAGTATGAATCTAAGAGCACCTTTCGAACTTATATAGGCTCAAAACCATGACACAAATATAACAAACATTAGACAAATGTGCAAAGATCAAATATATTTGATTAACTGAAACAAGTATAACGCCATGAATATGTCAAATCCATATAAGTCATAATAATGTACAAATTTTACTCCTAACAAGCAAGAATTTAGTTACTCATAAAGAATGTAATGATATGGAAGGTACAAAAGAAAAACTACATTGAATGATCTCTCAATCTTTAGATAACTATACTTTGACCGATCTTCGGCATGATGACCATTCAAGTTGTTTCACTACGAATACAACTTAGATATAAAAATAAATAAAAAATTTATATCTAAAACAATGGCCAAGAACTCTATTTATAGGTTTTAAGTTTTGTCCTTATTTATTAGGAGAAATATGACTTGTCTAATGTGTTAACTTTTTGGATTTCTTCGTGCAAAAGAAATACTTAAAACCTCCTTCAGAACTGCCTTAGAATCTCTAGAGGATTGTGATTTTTCTAGAAAATTTGCCATATTTTCCAACACAAACTTTTGTTATTATTAAGCTAGTCGGGGATCCATTTTCCGAGCAAATTAACTTTAAACGTATATGACATTTATTTTTGTTCTGGATTTGCGGATCGAACTTGGCCTTTAAGATTTGGGTCTTTTTCTCAACATTTGATCTTTCATATAGTGTTTTTCTATCCTTAAACTCATGAGGTTCAAAAGGTATTGTACATTTTGGATTTGTTGCATTATGCGAAACAATACGGAGTGTGTTCATGAAATTTTTGGTGCATAAGGGACACATGTGGAACACAATTTTCCAACATGTGTGTTGCAACATCTGGTCTCTGACAAGAGACAAATGTTATTGTAGTTCTGATTTAGATTTAACCCAAGATTTACTTTACAAAGATGATTTATATGAAGAGAGTTAATTTGGATGTTCTAGTGCAACATTTAGAAAACGATGTTTCAACAAGTGTGTAGTGCAACATTTGACCCTGGTCAGCAGGCCAAGATGGATGTTGTTAGGGGCAAAATTTCATATTGAGATTCAATCAAATGTGTTGCAAATTGATTGACAATTTTGTTTGATTTGTTTGATAGTTGTTGAAGATCAAATCAGATTTAAATTTGAATTTGAAATATAACAAATTATATCTTTTGTTGGAGAGATTTATGGAGAAAATCAAATCCAACTGATTCACCTATTATACTAGACAAAATTAAATCATAAGTCCAAAGGAGAAAAGCTCAAAATGCATGGCTATTTAAGGAGACTTAAATCTTATGTTTGAAAAAATAAAGATGTTTTGCAATAGGACTAGTTTCGTTGTGCTAGGGTTTTGAGTCTTTTGTTACTTGTATTCCACGCTAATGTTATCACTCACATCATAAGGATTTGTGTTGGATCTAGTTTGTGTACACCACACTATTGATTTAATAACTTGGCATTGTTGTTGGTTTATCTTAGTTGAGTTAAAAATTCAACATTAAATAGAATTCTTATTCATATTAGAACAACATATGGTTGTTCTTCATATAAGACTAATTATACTAATTTAAAGTAGTGAATTTCCTTTCTTGGGTATAGTGCTCTTCAGACGTAGGTGTTGTTTCCACTGAACAGGGTTACCTATCTCTTGTGCCATTTTTTTTGCTTTCTGCATTGTGTTATTGTTGTTGTTATATTATTGTCATACTAGTTTAATAAGTTGAACCAGTTACTCCAACATCATGTCCAACATTTTTCCCCTTAGGAACAGAATTTTAATTGGCATCAGAGTAGGAACCATGTTCTGTTTAAGTGAGCTTCAGGGAAGATACTTTAGGTTCAAATGGCCAACAGTAAGGCTGAAAGTTCATTCAACACACCACATGTTTTAGATGGTATAAATCATGACTATTGGAAAGCCAAGATGGTTGCTTTTCTCAAATCTATAGACAACAAAACTTGGAAGGTTATGGTTAAAGGTTGGAAACATCTTGTGATCACTTCTGAAGATGGTTTCACAAGTTTAAAGTTGGAAGTTGATTGGTCCAAAAATGAAGATGATGAAACTCTTGGAAACGACAAAGCCTTAAATACTCTATTCAATAGTGCCGACAAGAACATGTCCAGACTAATCAACACTTGTACTGGAGCTAAATAAGTTTTGGAGATTCCCAATACATCTTATGAAGGCACATCCAAGATTAGGATGTCAAAGCTACAACTCCTCACAACTAATTTTGAAAATATGAGGATGATGGAAGATGAATCCATATATGATTTCAACATTAGACTGCATGATATAACAAATAATTCTTTTTCTTTTCGAAAAAAGATGTCAGAAGAAAAGCTAGTTAGAAAGATTCTAAGATCTTTGCCTCAGGAGTTTGACATGAAGGTAACAGTTATTGAAGAATCCTAAGACTTAAGCACCTTGACGGGTTATGAACTCATTGGGTCCCTTCAAACCCTAAAAGTTTATATAAATGGAATATTAGAAAAGAAGAACAAAGGTGTAGCTTTTGTATCCAATACTCACAATAAGGAAGATCAAGGTGATAAGGATACTGATGAAGGTTTTTCAGATTCTATAGCTTTTATTAGAAGAAAGTTTAACAAATATTTGAGAAGGTTGGACGAAAGAAGGGGGACAGATGTTCAAGACAAGATGTCAGAAATATGTCCTCGGAGCAATAACAAAGATGAAAACAGTTCTAACAAAGGAAAAGGACAATAATGCTTTGAATGTGAAGGATTTGGTCACATCAAAGTTGAATTCCTTACCTTCTTAAAGAAACAGAAAAAAGGATTTTGAATCACTTGGTATGATTTTGATAGTGAAGGAGAAACATCTAACTTAATGAGGGGTTTCGCTGGGAGATATGTGTCTAAAAATTAATCAAATGATGAAAACATGTCTAAAGAAGAATTAGTTGCAACATATAGGCTTCTGTACACCAAGTGGGAGGAAGCTTGCTTAACAGTGGATAATCAGAAGATAATCATAGATGTGTTTCAGAAGGAAATGGGGAAGCTTGTCTCAACCATCACATGTATGGAATAAGAAATAGCCTTACTAAACTCCAAACTTGAAAGTATGAGAAAATTTATGTGTATGTTGAATAATGGTTCAAATATCCTAGATGAGATATTGGAAGTAGGGAAGATATCCAGAAATATGAAGGGAATAGGTTTGTAATTCAGCATGAACAAGAAAAAAAAATCCATTCTAAGAAGTTTGTCCTTCCTAAGAAGAAGACTAATTTTATGATGTTGGACCACATATCCCAGAAGCGTGTTCAACATCACAAAAGGCACGATAACTTTTCTTGGAGATGTCATCATTGTGGTAGATATGGACATATAAGTCCTTGTGAATGGTTATCCTTAGTTCTATAATCAACCAAAACGGAAGAGAAAAGATGGGAAGAAGGTTTGGACAAAGAAGTTGTGGAAACCCAAAGTAGTTGCCAATAGTTTTATGGCTTATACATCTCTTAGAGTTTCCTCAAGAGAAGATTGATATTTTAATAGTGGGTGTTCCATGCACATGATTGGAGAAAATACATATATTTAGGAGTTAAAATCTTACTTAAATAGTTATGTCACTTTTGGTGATGGAGAAAAGGTAAGAATAATGGGCATAGGCACAACGGTTAGTCCTGGTCTTCCTTGTCTTAATGCCGGGTTGTTGATTGAAGGTTTAATTTCTAACTTGATCAACATAATCCAACTATGTGATCAAGGCTTGAATGTAAACATTAGGAAATCTCAATTTATTGTCACCACCAAAGATCAAGAAATTCTCATGAAGGGGTTAAGGTACAAATACAATTGTTATATGTGGATATCTCAGCCCTCTTCTTTCATGTTATCCAAAATTGATGAGACCAAGTTATGGTACCAAAGACTTGGTCACCTCAATCTCAAAGGCATGAAGAAGGTTATATTTGTTAAAGCCATCAGAGGTTTTCCAAATCCGAAGATTGAACAATGAAAAATATGTGGAGATTACCAAATAGGTAAGTAGAACAAGATGTCTTACATGAAGATCCTCCATCTAGCCACCTAAAAAA